CTTGACAAGATGGCGCGTCGATCAGCTCGTCTGCTCAAGGTACGCGCACTTTGCTTTTCTAACGTTTGTTTACATTTACTGATGCGTCTGTTGTAGCGCGAGACTACGCCCTCCGAAGATAGTTGGCACACTGCCTCGTCGCCCAACTTGGGCCTTCCAGACCTTCCAGAATTGCCAGAGCCTGGTATGGCGCGGAAGACGCCCTCGAACGCCTCTGCAGGTCCCAAGGCCCAGTCCAAGTTACCGCAAGCGGCCGCGACACCCACACCTCATAAGAGCAAATCAACCAAGTCGCTCATTGATGACGCCAAGAGCCAAACACCCAAAGATCGCACTCCGATCAAGCCGGCAGGACAGGAGATGCATCCAGCGCATCACCACGCGAGCACAGCCAAGATCCTAGATGAGGCGCGCTGGCTCGGTTTCCAGTCACTGGGTACCGCGCCTTCCAAAGCGACCGGCCTGGCGGGTCAGGCAACGCCCTCGAAGACTCCTGCAGCTGCCTCTTCGATGGCCAATGTTGGGTCATCGCCTGACTTCCGCTTCCGCTTCAAGTCGCCTTTCTCGAAACAAGACGAAGCCACGCTGAGCCCAAGCTCGCGCAACATCCTGAAAGACGCTGGGATCGCAGGCACTCCGGGTGGTGGTAGCCGTGCTCTGTTCGGTACGTTAAAGTGATAGTCAACTCAACCTGTTTTGCTTTTTCTAATCTCTATTTTCATATAGGCACGAGCGAGTGGTCCTCCAAGGTCGACGTGTCTCCCCAGCGCAAGATGGCCGAAGCCAAGGGCAAGATGGCTCGCTTCAGCGACGTACATATGAAGCAGTTCAAGAATATGGACTCCATCGCGAACCATCCGTCAGCTTTCCGCGCCGACCCGACACGATTCAAGCCCGTCGTAGGCCAGTCGCTCAAGAAGTCGCCCTCGAAACCAGAGCTCGCGAACACGGAGACGAACAAACTCAAGCGTACACAGTCGAAAGCGGATCTGGCGGAGCCGAGCTCGAGTGCCGCTGGTGGTCTAAAGCGCACACAGTCGAAGATGGACCTCGCAGGATCTGGAAGCAAGATTCCCCCAACCCCGTTGAAGCGCACTCAATCCAAGATGGACCTCACCGGATCTGCTCTGCCACGCTCCCAGCCATCAGCTCGCATGGCTCCTCCTGCACGCGATGGACGACCGGCCTCCCGCGACGGCGACGGCGACCGTAACGCGGTAGCTAAGCGTGTCAAGCGCACCGAATCTGACGATGCTGCCACCACCCGCCCTGCTTCTCGCGAAAAGGTGCCCGATGTCCCAGCCCGCGCAGCTGCTACTCCGGCCCGCAAGAAGACATCTCAAACTGCACTTCCTCGTCTAGCTGCGCGATTGATGACGCCTACGAAGTCGTCTATCGCGCGTTCCCAGAGCGTCAAGACTCTGAAGACGACGTCGATGATTCCAACTCTAGGAAAGTCGCCTTCCACGAACAACCTGGGAGCTTCGCCATCTGTCAATCGTAGCTTCGAGTCGTCCTCTGCCCGTAATACCTTCTCTCCTCCTAGCAACATTGGCCATCTGCAGACTTTGAGGGACAATGCACGCGAGAGCATGCGCAAGGTATGTCTATCTATGGGCGCTTTTCCAAGTATCCACTAACATCAGCAGGCAAGCAGCAACTTGCAGCGCGTCCGGTCAATTCTTCGCACGCCAAACCGCAAATTCTCGGACGATCCTAGCAAAGTCGCGGCAGGCACTCACATGTCACCTCCGACCATGAGCCTCGACAAAGCACCGTCCCTGGTTCCTGCTACAGCTCCTGTGAAGAAGCAAGTCAACTTCAGCAGTAGTACTTTGGAGCGCGCGTCGCACGACGAGCTGGGCAAATCACCGTCCCCGATGAAGTTCAGGGCAGGCAGTGAAGTGCCTGCTGGTGCTGTGATCTATCCTAGTCTCGGCTCAGGAGCACACAATGGCCCAGATCTTTCTCAAGAGATTGAAACTCTGACCGCTTCTCCATCTCGTCGCCTCACATTCGGTGGCGAGGCTCCTAATCATCCACGTTCCTTTTCCTTCGAGTCCGGCAACATTGTCAACTTTGGTACGTTGTCTTGCCTCTCATTACTGAAAACTCATTAACTTTTTCAGGCCCTGTATCGACTGGCACGATCCGCATGGTACGTCCGAGCGATGCATCTTCTCTTGTCGACGGCACCAAGCGCAAGCTGGAGACCCTCCAGGAGACATCCGACAAGGAGAACGATGGTCCTAATGACGACGACACGCGCTCCAACAAGAAGATGAAGCGGACACCTGCACCCGCTCCAAAGGCCCCTGCCAGCGCAAGCAAGACAGCTCGCCACACCCCAGGACGTGCGGGTGCTATCAGCAAGTCAAGGCTCGCCTTCCTTGCTACGCCTAAACGAAGCAGGGCGTAAGCTTGCTCGTTTTCGTCGGAGACTGTGATGCTGTTGAGGTGTGTTCGTCACAAGCTGTAGCGAACATGCATCATCCATGATTCGACGGGCATTTGTCCCAGTTTACTCTCCAGTCATTTGCTGGCGTACTTGTCACGATGCTTGTGCATCGCCTCATGACTTACGATACTTCCTTCTTGTCAAATCTTTGTTCTTTCTCACGTCATAATTGGCATCGGGGCGTAACGGTTCTCCAGGCATAACCCTCAAAATCTTTCCTTTTGTTTCTGGATCTTACATGTCCGATGGACACTGATCATTACGAGAACGGTACACATGACCAAGCTTAGCTTGTGTATTATACTGAATCAACGATTGCATGACCACCAAATTTCCAACGAGTGATGAGTGAGTTGTGTACTGCGTCAGCAGGGGCTCCAACAATATGTGTCGTGTTGTAAAGAAATGTTAAGTATTCCATCAAGCTAAAAGTATACGTGATCTTAGATATTATTGACTTACTAAGATATGATAGTGTGGATGCAGCGAAGCCTACTGTTCAGTGACTATTCGTAGGTGGGAGACATGTGCAGTCAAGTGGGTCGATGCGGCACTGGGCGGTCGGAGCTTCCGTACCAGTCGCTCATACTTTTGGCCGATCAACATTGATTCACACCGCCTACAGCCGCCCCCCACTACACAACCAAGGGCTTTTTCTGGCAGCTTACTACGTCATTCGCATACGCGGACTGCTTACGGCCTGCTACACTGGCAGGGCGAGTCTCACACCACCACCGTGGCGTCGCTAAGTAACCTGGTCGACGAATTGAAGAAATCCTTCAACTTCCGCGACTCTCGATCTCTACTAAGCTCCACGACAACTTCTTCGTCAGGCGACACTGAAAACCAACACACGAACGCGCTATCGAAACTGTTGCGCGCCCTACAGCACCGCAGCTTCCACGACGTCGCCGAGTTCCTCACGAACCCTCGCCTCGACGACCCTACCTACCTTACCACCCTTGCTATCGCACTAGCCTCTGTCATCGTCACCATGTCCTGGTTCTCGCGCACCGGCGGAAACTGGGGAGGACGCTTCTCGCCATTTGGCCGTCCAGGCAACTCGCCCAACGCCGGCGTCGTCAACGACTCTGACTTTTCATACATCACCAACGAAGACCTACGACGAAATGGTCAAGCGCAAGCGCCCGAAATCGTCGACTGGGATGACAAGAACCCAGAACGGGAGACAGACGTTCTCATCTTCAAGAACGGGCGCACACATTACCCTACACACTTCCCCGCGCACAGCATACGCGATGGAGATCTGAAGATTGGTACAGTTCGACAAGCGGCAGCAAAGAAGCTGGGCGTCGATGACCACAGGCGGATACGCATGTTCTACAAGGGCAGGAATCTGAAGCACGACGAGCGGACTGGACGGGAGGAAGGCCTCCGTGGTGACGGAACCGGTAGTGAGATTCTGGTCACCGTAGGCGAAACCCCAGTCAGTGGCCTAGCACCCGGATCAGAAGACGCACCACAGCACGCATACAGCGAGGGAGAGGACGACGATGACGACGAAGATGACGTCGACTCTGGCGCGAATACCACAGGCAAGAAGAAGTCGCGCAAGCGCGGCGGCAGGAAGAGCAAGAAGAAGGGTCCTTCTTCGGCAAACGCCTCTGGCACCTCAACACCCGGCTACACAACTGGCGGGGCCGGCGCAGAATACCTCCCTATCCCCTCGCATATCAGCGCGGCACCGCGCCCGAGTCCCACTCCTCCCCCGGCCAAACCCGCCGAGCCCCAAACCCCAATCGGCAAACTCGATGCCATCGCCAGCAAGTTCCACACCGAATTCGTACCCATGTGTGTGCAATTCATGGCCAGCCCGCCAGAAGATAAGGCGAAGAGGACATTCGAATACAAGAAGCTGAGTGAGACTATCTTGACCCAGATCATCTTCAAGCTAGATGGTGTCGAGACGGAAGGTGATCCAGAAGCTAGGCTCAAGCGCAAGGCTCTCGTCAAGGAGGTCCAGGGCATGCTGACAAGGCTGGATGAGGCCGGAAAGGCTGGTTAAGCTGTGATCGCAGACAAGAAAGAATAAGCTTAAGCACCATTACATGGTGCTGTGAGGCAGGGAACTAATTTCGTTGATGGAGATTGCACGTGCATGCTCTCCTTGCTGTCGCTCTACTTTCTTCTCGGGTCTGCATTGGTGATAGTTATCAAGGAGCATCTAGTGAGCGATGCTGATGAGCGTCTAGCGATCGATTTGCGTATCAACATTAACGAAGCTCTTCCTCTATTTTCTGCTTGTGTGAGGTGTCTGATGCCTGCATCATTGTTCTTTGTATCACTCTCTTGGTCCCGTCTGCCTGTCTTTCACGACCTGCATCCTTTATCTCACGCTTTGTCAGTGCCCCATTGTGTTCATGTCTCTCTAGCTTCTGCCTGCATTCGAAATGCCAAGGGCAAGCTACATCATCTGATGACTTTTCGTATGCATCTTGCACATGAGAAGCCAACCTCAAGTTCGAATGCACTGGAATTCACATCGCTCGTTGGCCATTCACGACTCGCAAGACCACGCACCATGAGTACGGAAGCTAGCCACCAATCGCTAAAAGGTGTCCACGAAGCACTTGCCCGGAATGGTCTCCCGCCTATAGGATCCTCCCAAATATTTTCGACGACCTCCATCGACGCTCTCGACCTTACAAGTGTTCCTCGTTTCAAGGCAGCATCTTACATTACTACCGGGGTTGATCGTGTCAGCAGCAGAGGTACCGACAATCTTATCTCTCATGCCATCCCAATCGACAACTGCGCTCGAATTCTTGGAGCTGTTACCAACAACCGGACACTCCGCAAATCTGAGATCAGATCAAACTATCCTCGCCGCTGGTCGGTTGATTGCTCGGCCTATTCCGGGGGAGGAGGTCAGTCGTCAACCAAGAGTGATGGGCATCACGAAGCGCGCAAGTATGATAGTGTCTTCGAAGACACTGATGCGTTCAGGGAAGCAGAAGCCTTTAGTTGGGATACCTACACGAGTATTCAGCGGCTAGACGTCTTTGATCGCGACTACACTCTCTCCGCAAAGCCCAATCATACTGTCCTCGAAACGGCAAACGCATCGATCGATGAATCTCAGTTCCTCCACTTTCTCACTCTCGGCCCTGACGACGGTTGGTTTCACGACAGCCACATAGACACATCTCTGGATATACTGGAGCGAGCTGCCAACTGCCAAAAACACGGGATCACAATCTGTCGTATTAGTCAGGGATCCGAGCTCTACACCAGTATGAGGAAAGCGCAGGAACTTCAAGATCAGGAGGCAGTATGGTTCGATAGACTGCTGATTGAGAAATGCAGGAACAAAGACTTCATCTTGGTACCGATCAGTAACGCGTACGAAGACGTTTACGAGACAGGCTTGGAACGTGAACGTCAGTATGAAGCGGCCAAGACGAATCCCATCACAGAGCCTACGCCCCATGAATCAACCGCAGGTAATCACTGGTCTCTTCTCCTCGTCGACTGTCGCTCTTCGACCATCAAAGGCCGCTACTTTGACTCCAGCTACCACGAATCCGCTGGCCTTTTACATCACTACGCAATGGAAGACTCAAACATTTGCAAAGCAGCCCTGATGATCTTGACTGGCGTACGAACGATGCTCAACCATGTCCAGCCGGGACGTTTCAACGAGGAAGAATTTGTGTTTGACATTGACACACACTGCCCTAACCAAGGCCATGAGAATGTCAGCGGCGAAGAAGACGGCCTGGGCGCTTGTGGCCCATTTGTGTGGGAAATGAGTAAGGAAATCACGCAATACATTGCCGACTGTCGTGAAGACCCCAACTTTCCCGATGTTGGTCAAGTCGACCCTTGTTTACCAGACAGTTACCAGCGCCGCAGAAACTGGGACTCAGCTAAAACGCGTAGGGCGATATGGAATCTTGTGTTGAGAGAGCTGAGAACCCGGGAGTGGCTGAATCGTACTTCGGAATGGATGGATAGTATGGGAAAGAGGAATTCCACGCCGGGGGACGGCATGGCAGGTTGGAGATCTTGGCTGAAAGGAAAGGGATTGAACGAGATGACCTTTTGGGATCCATGGAAGCTAGAGAGTGAACTGGCGCCTCAATTTGGGCGGCCGTTCATAGTAGGCTCATAACCTTGTTACCTTTTCGATATCTCTCGAATGTATAGTGAAAAGAGGGATGCTCACGAAACATATCGAAATCTCCCAAGGTACCAGTCCTGACTTGGCTACTACTTGGTGATTAGGGAAGTTGATAACAGTATGATGTAAACTTTGAAATCTTCATAAGCTGTCAAACTATGACGATTGCTTAGGATCTTAACTTTGAAGGCCATGCCACGGATCCCAGAAATAATCCGCAGTTATCCTTTGACTCCTGGCCGCCAGCCAATCGTTCCACCCGGGCTGCCCATCTGTTTTCCACCAGTCATGCGTACCATTGAGCCAAATCCTCGACCTCCTTTCTAGTTCAAGCACGTTCTTTATCCTTTTCCGCGTCGCCCCCGAATCCCAACACCAACGTTGCGCAAAGCCAGTGGGCAAGGTGATGTCAATGTCAACATGTCGGCCCAGACGGTGAGCGTCTTCATGACATTCGATGATATACTGTGCCAAATCTTTCGCGAAAGCCCATACAAAAGGCCCACAGGCACCGCCACCATCAGCGTAGCACCGGTTGTGAAGCTTTTGGTTTGGGCAGCGCGTTTCTCGGTGGAGATTAGTGCCAAGCGTCTTTTGCTCAATCTTGTAGTCTGGTCGCGTTTCCGCATAGATTCTGCTGAAGCCACGAAGCAGTACCATAGCAGCTTCAAAATTGCTGGACATACCATCGGAGTCATAGTGTCGTGCATGGATAACCGGCTGGTGACAGTCGATGATCACCAAGGTCCAATGTGTACCGAGCAAATTTCCGCTACGATCTCCAGCGTGTATCCTTTTCCAGCCATTACTCACGGGAATCATGACGAACTTGTTCATTCCTATCGTCTTCTGCAGCGCTCCCCCGGCTTCTAAAGTCGCAGTCTCGTCGCGGCCAATCGTGTACAATTCCGCAGCGAAAGGCGTACCGAGAATGGCGATGTCGTGATATTCGCAACCAAGTATACGGTAGATGGCATCGAGGCCAATGTCCAGAACTTCATCATAGAACCAGACTCCGATGTGATCAATTTCGCCGAAGTGTTCGTTGTGAAGCTGAGCCCTTTCCGTCTCGAGGTATACCATGTGCTTGTCGCGTTCTAGCTCGTTGTTACTAAGCTTGTGCCTTTGAAGCACAAGATCTCTTTCCACAGCATCTTCTACTGCTCCGCCATCGTCGTTGCTCAAGTGAGGGTATCGCTGATCCGGCGTTTGGTACAAGTCGACAGACCATCGCCGGCGTGAATAAGGAACTGTGCGGGCACTTCCACATGCCTCATCTATTTTATCGTCGCGATCCTCCGTTAAAAGAGCGCCGGACCGAGTGGTGTGTGTATGTCGTGTGCGAATGCGCTCGGTCGATATAGACTCGTCCAGGTCGACCTGGGAGAGACCTTGCGTACGAAAGAAGTCATTCAGTATGTCTTGTTTGCTTGCTACGAGCGCTTCAGATGAGCTCTGGATCTTTTGGAAAAGGTGCCTGCGTTCGTCCATCATCGCAAAGTCCTTCTTTCCCTCTTCATCGACAGAGGTGAGCTTGAGGCACAACGCTAAAGCCACGGTCGTGAGGTATACATCAGAAGGCTTTGAGTATGCTAGAGAGCATATAGCCTTTGTCTAAGCGGCTTTTGTTGGTATTGTTGTGATGTCATCAGCTTTGTGGCTGTACGACCCCTTGATCACTAAACAAAGAATGGTGAGTGACAAAAGGTCAATGAGTGCCTCAGTGTGTACAAACCTAATGATGATACATGGCGATGAAGTAGTCGAATGGTTCTGCTACATGGTCTTTGCGTAGTCAGTATATGTGGAAAGGCCAGTCATGAAATCTAAGGCACCTGGCACCCACGACGTTGGATTAAGGATCACATTTTCGACGTTGGATTAAAGTTCGAAACAGCTATGAAAAGCCCTCCGTGGATCTGAGCTAGGATTACCAGCCGTCGGCCTGTGCTACACTAAGGAAGGGGAGTCAGTTCCCAGGAGACAAAGTGTCGGAGTCGGAGTGGGTGTATCGGTCTCGGTCTCGGGATCACCCTAGCCTTTTTCGTTCGGTGGACGTTCGCCCGAGCCCGTCACAGAAACTGACTAGAGCACCCGAGCATCTCCCGCTTTTCAAAATGCCCTTGTTTTGTGCATACGCCACCCTGTGGAGACTGTTTTACCTTGTCTACGGGTCTGTCCTCGCGTTATGGGGGTGGAGCCTGTTGACGGCGTGTCAGTACCACGTGGGACCGCGCCATAGCGGAGGCGACGATCAGGTCATGCTAGGATCAATGGATGATGAGTAAACAGTACTTGTGCGACTTAGGCTAAAGGTATACAACGCTTGTTAGAGCGAGACTCTGACGAAAAGGTACATGGTAGGCGCGCCCCACTGAGCGGTGTCACGTTCGCTTTTGATTGCTCGACTTGACTACTTCAAAGACCAGACACCATTTTCCTCAATGATGTCAATCGGCCGGTTTTCATCGAGCGATCTCCTACCTGCCTCGAGAATTGCTGTCGTCGCGATAGTGTTTTTCAGGGTTGGGAGTGGCCGCGCGTCTAGCTGTTCGAGTGTGACCTCACCTGCGTTGAGCTTGTTGACGGCATCAACGAACTTCTCAAAAGAAATGTATCCGTAGCCGATCTGGCCTGCGAAGTTGCCCTCCTCATCGGGAGCGTACTTCATGTAAAATCTGAAAGTGGTTAGTACGCAAAGGGATGACTTTGCGATATTTGAACTCACGGGTTGTACCAGAGGAGACCACCCTCGTCGTCAGTAACGTCGTAACCGCGCTTGGCCTGATTGACGCGGATTTCTCCTGTAGATGCCATGTAGTGGAAGTACTGATTCGAGTGCACACCGGCTTTCTGAGGCGCTGCCCAGCCAGCTGTGTAAACACCTGTTCCGACCTTGCTAGGGTCATCCTTCTTCACCCAGTTGGTGAGCAGTGTGATGGTATCCTCGGTAGCAGGATCGCAGCCCAGTCCTGTTGCAATGCCCTTTGCAGCACTAGCCATGACGCGTACTGGCTTCCAATCGGGGATCATGGACTCGTTGATGTCGATGTGATGAGAATTGAGGTAGTAGGAGATATCAGAATCGATACCCGCCCAGGCCTTGAACGTCTCCAGTTGGCTCCTGATCGAAGTATTAGCAATTAGAGTCTTCGATTCAGTAGGGGTTGAATGTACTTTGGCTGGCTCATGTAGGAGTAGAAGTAGTTGAAATCGCCCAGCTTCTGCGCCCGGAAACGCGCATCAGCATACGCAGGATCATATCGCTTGTGGTGCTCAATGTAAACGAAGACATTGTGTTTCTTCGCAGCTGCCAAAAGCGCCTGGTGATGTTCCAGAAGCTTCACCGCGGGCTTCGTGATAAGGACGTGGATTCCGCGTTCGATGGCGTACAGAGCGATCGGGTAGTGAGTGGTGTCAGGTGTGAAGATGGTGACTAGGCAACGTCAATGGGAGGAGGCAATTGAGCGGGTATATATTGCAACTCACTGGCACTGCCCTTTGGAAGCGCGTCAATCGCTGTCTTGTACGCATTCGGATCGGTTTTGCCTTCCTTTGGGAACTCCTCAAATGACACGTCCAAGCTGTTGTATGCCTCGGAAATGTTCTTCTGGAGATGCTCGCCTGGCAGATATCAGCATGCCGGACAAAGTGAAACCGTCCAGATGCTGTGCGACTCACGGATTGCGGGGAATTTGCCGCCCGATGTGCCCACCATAGACAGCTTGCCCACTTTGCCGCGTCTTCGGAGGTCGAACAGCGTCAGGCCTACGACACCGACCTTCTTGTCCGACTTGGAGGCGCCCCCTCCGACGAATCCTGTCGTGTACTCTCCAGTACCGACCTGGCGTGCAATTAGCATTGACATGCGACGCGCCGCAGATGTGAGTGAGCCACAGAGCTGCGGCTAGACTGTGGTGAGGGGCAACGCACCATGAGTACTTCTACTGGCGCCATGTTGACTTTAGTTTTGCAGGTCTGAGAAAAGGTCCAGATGATAGAAAGGATTGGCAGCTACTGTCCTGATCTCGAGCAAGATGAGACGAAACAAGAGCTGGAATTGAAGGGGATGCGCTGCTTCAATACCCGACACAGCTTCGTCGGCCTTTGACGACTTATCGATAGCGACGGAAGATATATGACCCAGCAACGCGATGAGGGGCACGAGGCCTCACGCGTGCTGCCGGCAGCCGCGGCCGGATGACGTTGCATCATTCGAGGCCTTGGTCATGGTGGGGGCTGTGTCTTGCTCAGCGCGACGGTTTGCATCTGTTTCCGATGGCCGTGGCGTCTCCAAGCCGTCGAGGAAGCAGCGAGGCTCGTCTCGACATGGCGGAATTGTCTTGGAGCAATTCCTTGGGGCACGCGTGGTGGTTGGCGTTTGTTGCGTTCCGAGGGGTAACGAGGTTCCCCAGAGGCCAAGGAAAGAGCGACACTGGCTTCCCCCACGCGCGTGCCCGCCTGCTATTGGTGGAAGAATGCCACCCCGTCCACGACAGCCGTGCTGTGCCACTATGTTCGACAGCTAACCCTGCCCCAGGTGCAGCTCTATCCCATCAGACAACCGCCGACTTTAGTCACTCTCATAGAAAAGGCCGCAGAATGTCCCGCATTTCGCCCAGTGGTGTCCCGAACGCGCCAGATGGCCCACAGCCCTGCACCCAACCTCCAGTCTAGCCCTCGCCGTTGCGGTCCTTGGCGAATCAAACAGGACCATTTGACGAGATCTTGAACGGTAGAGCCACTGAGACACGCCAGTCCATGTGGGATGGGAAGTGAGCTCTGCCGAACTTAGCTCCTCTGACTTACTTTGCGCCGATTACCTCCATCTCGCTGCTATATTAAAGCTGACCGAACCCGTGTGTGCATCATCTTTATTGTTCGCCCCTTCCTCTCCCCCGAAGCTTCCGTACTCGTATATTACTTGCGTTGTTCTTTTCCAGTCTCAACTCTTCTTGATTATACATACCGCAAAGATGACATCAAACGGA